CATGTGCGCGTTCGTGTGTGTTGGAGGAGGGGCTCTGTAAAGGAAGTGGCAGATTTTTTCCGGTTGTGTATTTTCAAATTCTAGCGCACTCGAGCTGGTTTCTCCAAAATGACCTATTCCACCTTTAATGCATGATACTTATCTTTCCACATATATTCTTTTAACTTACATATTTTTAACAAATTCGTACACGTTGTATTAATTTATTATTAATGTAAACATTCATGTACATATTGCATATCATGTGTATTTCTGTTTACCATAGCATACCATAACCCCCTGATTCATAAAACGCATATTTCATCATCCTGAATGAAATGTTATTCAGATTGTATTCCTGTTATTAACATTGTATGGTTAATGCTGTTATAATTTAACTAGTTGTGCATTATACATTGACATCAACCTCTATGCTTTGGCCCAACAAGAGGTTTTAAGTAATGTAATAATTCACCAAAAATGTTTTAGACTCCAAAAGAAAATCAAATAAGAGTAATGCAGGGTCAATACAATAAAACCTACAAAGATGTTTACTAATCAATAGGTAATCATGTCTCAGAGAAAAGAGGTGACCAATCAATCACGATGTAAATGACACACATAGACTAACCTAAGTCCGCATTGATTTCACTTTGCCTTCGGTTCTGAATCCTCAACTGCAGGACTGAAAGACAAAACAGAGGTTAAGCTGCTGTGCTAAGAACAAACAAAAATAAAGATTAAATATCGCAAGTTACTCAGATACAGTAAGTTGGTTTGATTTGAAGGAAAATGATCTGGTAAAAAGAAACTACTGACGTATAAAGGTAAGAGTTTAGCAATGCAAACATCAGGATCATCGTTAAATGATACAGCCTTGTAAATGACTTCACCTCAAGCTTTGCAATGCTTATAGATTATGTATCTCCTTGCATGCCTGCACAGATCTACACACCACCGAATGCACATTAGCATTCAGTACATACACAGCAGGGCTGGGCATGATACATGTCTGNTGCTCATATCTGATCTTCCATTAAAGGTGGGGTAGGTAAGTTTGAGAAACCGGCTCGAGATACACTTTTTGTTATATTCCATGGAATGCTGTTAACATCCCGATAGCAATGAATATCTTAAGTGCTTTGACAAAACATCCATAAAAAATGTCATCTGTGGAAGCCGTGGCGCTGTAAAAAGCACGACCAATCATTTTAGCCGGCGGATGTTAACAGCATTCCATGGAATATAACAAAAAGTGTATCTCGAGCCGGTTTCTCAAACTTACCTACCCCACCTTTAATGGAAGATCAGATATGAGCATACATTCAACATAATTATCAGATCTCAGCACTCAATGCAATAAACAGTAATTTAGTATAGAGATACAAAAACAATCTCCAGGACTGTGTAGATATGCTGCTCTCCTGCTTTAGCCCGCCCCCCCCCCTATGAGGCTGAAGCAGGTTGCACACAAAGTGCTGCACACACCCCGCCGACACAAAAGAGCACCTCATACTGTAACTTGGAAAGATGAGTGAAGGCTGAAAAATGCTTTGTTGATGCTCTGGTTCACCTCATTTGCTCCTCTACTACATAAGAATCTTCTAAAAATAACAAAAACAACAACTACTGCCTTTCATCATATAACCCCATCTTCTCTGTTTCTATAGGGTTAAAATCTGCCTGCCAACCTAAAAAAGCAGAGAAAGACCAGAGTGAAGCTCTGGTGAGTAGAGTCCAGTTTCTCAATAATATACAACAGCATTACTTTTTCACAGTATCGATCAAATAATCATGTTGATGCAGTAAGAGTAATCCATGAAATATAGTTTTCCCCAAACACGTGTTTTTTCCATTCCTGTTCATTTGTATGGTTGACTATAGGAGGTACTTCATGCCAAAGACATTTTTAGTAACCTGTCTTATTTACACTCGTGAGACAATCATTAACATGAAGTTTATCAGTCAGTTTTCTTGAAATCAATAATTTGACCTGTTACAGCAGTGCGTCTTGTTTTTGCACAGGATCCATTCCTTTATTGACTTTGCAAATGTTCTTAGAGAAACTCTGGTGTGAATGTCATTAGGCTATATTGGCAGTGAAGTACAGTGTTATTTAGATTTATCCTGAATAAAATGCAATGTTGGCCCTGGCTGTTGGTTGACCTGCTGTTTCCTGATGCAGCGTCTTACTGAAGATGGTGCTGCACAGAAGTTGCCCCCTGGTGGTCTCAATGCTGAAACTGCAAAAGGTGATGCCCTGCATACAATAATGTAGCTATCTCCTTCCTGCTCTACCCTGTGTCCTCCCAACAAATTGCATAGTGGCATATTTCCCTCTCTCTCTGTTCCTCTGTCTGTATTTTATCACACATTTTATGCTCTACGTTTCCTGTTGTACAGTGTGAGGAAATGAGGCGTGTAAATCTGGCGATAGGCTTGGTGTTTCATCAGCTGTCAGTTAAATAGATATGTGACCTTGTTGTACACTGTAACTCTGCATTTTAAGCAGCCTGCAAACATATCAGTGATTGACAGCGTATGATAAACTCACCACCCATCCAGGGATCAGAGCCGTTATTTACTGGCATCTCTCTCTGTTCTCCACACCTTTAACCTCCCTTTCAATTTGAAAAGACTATTATTATAACATTAGGCCTTTCAAACTCCCTCATTTCCTTTTCTGCCCTTTTTTAAATGTTGGGTGAGTGTGTGTGTTCACTTCCAAGGGAGAACATCTCCCTGTGGACAGGAGTGTTTACTATTTTCAGATGCTCTGCTGGTTCGAATGTGGATTGACTGCCTGTGGCAACACCGTTGTGCCACACTCACATCACATATGTTCTGAAATCCTGTTGCTTCCCTCTCTCTCCAAATCCCCTCTTCTCTCTGCCGGTCTCCCATCTGTCCCCCCCATCTCGCCACTTATATGCACCATTTCTCTGTGCCCCTGCAGAGAGGACTGTGTGTGGGGCCCAGAGGCAGAAGAAGACTCGGCATACGCAGGACCTTACTGAAAGGATCCGGCGTCCGCCAGGGCCTGTGGATCAACAGCACGAACACACACTGCCCCTGGAGAACCGTGAGTCAACACACATCCTCATGCACAGGCACACACAGACAGTCACACACATTTATTTTTCTCCTCATCCAATCTCCTCTCCTCCTCCTTTGACCTTACCTCCTTTGACTTTTCATTTCCTCAGGCCCTGCCTCTTTCCCTCTCTCCGCTGATGTCTTCGAAGATGACATTTCCTCCTGCCCCTCCTCCTCGCCTACTGAGCATCATGGCGTTCATCAATCAACAGCCTTTTCTTCATTGCCAGGGCTCTCAGGTGACCAATTACTGAGTGACTTCTCAGCTGTGGGCCGACCCCTGGTCCACAGCCCTGGACATGCACAGGTGAGGAAACATCACTGATATTAGGACTCACCAAGGATACATGAATTCCTACCAATAAACTCTGATCAATACATCAAAGTGAATTTCAATCATCTCATATGTCAACTCTGATAATCTGTTATTCTGCCTTCAGTCTGGTTTGGCATTGCTCCCGGCAACCGAGGGCATTCGACAACCCATGAGTGTAACACTTTGTGAATCAAACGGCATGGCAACACCTGGGAGACCGAATGGGATGTATCTGACCTCTCAGACCACACCCCTGCTGCCAAAGGTAATGTTGGGTTAGTGCATGCTAATGCGCCCAATGCAAACCCAGTGCTTTGACTCATTTTGTGACTCATTTAAATTTCACAAGGGCCATGTTTGTATGGAATAATTTCATGACACTTTGAATAACATTATATTGTCAAGAATCTAGTCAATTCAATGTGGTCTCATCACATTTCCATCCAGAAAAAAAACAGCATTTATATTTAGTTTATGTTTGTACGTGCTCGTTATTGTGACATGTAGTCACAGCAGGTATCCAGCACAAACAATAAAAGAGCATTGTGGATGTCTTCATCCTAACAGCATGGTCACTCATCTGTTTTGTCAAACACAATTCTCTGCTGTATGCTGCTCTGCATTCATTACTGTCAATTTTCACTTCTGGGGGAGCTCAGTATTTGCCCTGTAGGTTAACACATTCACACACAAGCAGCATGGCTGCATGTCAGAAACACATATGCTGCCATCTGGAGATTTGCGAGGCATTTGTAAATGTAATGTAAGAGTTTAACCTTGACATGGGGCAAATGCCGTCTGACAACGTGAAAGGACTTGATATTTGTCAGAGATATTATACATACTGCTCTTGAAATTAGAGATCACAGTAAAGCTGAATTGTGGGCAATGTGTCTCTTTACAGACAGCTCAGCCTCTAAGCCCCACCTGCGCCTCCTCACTGCCCACCTCCCTCAACTTCAACCATCTTCCCCGCCCACGGAAACCGCGGGACACCAAACCCAAAATGAGGAAACTCAAATATCACCAGTACATTCCTCCAGACCAGAGAGGAGGGTCTGGGACTGGAGGTATGGATACAATGCTTTACAACATTTAGTCACACATTCTATCAATTTGTCAAATCAAAGCTTGGATCGTGGCACGCTGTTGACATTTTTCCTTTAAAATTGTTTATTTCTTTATTTCTAGGAGGAACCAAACAGAAGAGCCCGGCTCCTAGCCAGTCCTTAGACCCAGCCTACTCCCATCTACTGAAACAGCAGCAGGTCTTCCTGCAGCTGCAAATCCTCCAGAACCAGCAACAACAGCAACAGCAACAGCAGCATCAGCAGCAACAGCAGCTCACTGTTGTGCCCAGGTATATCAACAGATTACCTTTGATGCAGTGTTAGGAAATCCAGATTGTTAAACCAGACAGTTATCCGCTTTGTTAATGAGTTATTAGTCCTCAGACACTTTTGGTGAGTAAATGCTTCTATAAATCCTCCAGTGATCACAATGATCTTGTGAAGTCTTCTGGAGCCATGCCACTGAATCCCCAACCTGTTCCCGCCACAACAAACCACACCCCTACAGACACAAACCCTGCTTCCAAGCCTGAGCTTCTCCCTGCAAATCTCGTTGATCTAACAGTAAGAAAAGCATGAAAGCACTGAACCTTTTATTTTAAAAATGTATTACGAAGACATCTCTTAAGTGTCCTTTCTTCTCTTCCCTCTCCTCAGGTGTCAGAGTTACGGCAGCAGCTGCGAAAGCGTGGCCTCCCCGTCTCCGGCACAAAGCCCACTCTGTTGCAGCGTCTCCGCCCGTTCCAGATTCCTCACTCCTGCCTCACCCCTGCTCCCCTCTGCCAGCTGGGTACCAGCCTGGAGCCTCTCACCCCTACTGCCCTGTTGCCATCCAGCCAGAGCCCCGGCTCCAGCTCCAGCTCGGGACTAGACTCCCCCAGCAGAAGCCCGAATCAACAGATGTACATCCCGGACAGAGGAGTCCCTAATGGGATTCTCAGTGACGCTCAAAATGGAATTCTGAACAATATGCCACATGGTTTCTCGAATGCTTCAGTCAGTTTGGCAGGTGAACAATGTCTTTCCAACGCTGTCTTCATGGCTCCTGCCAGCACCGCCTCAGGAACTCCAAGTCCCAGTCTCCCCATGTCGTCGTCCTCGCCCCTGCAGTGTGGGACCCCCTGGAGAAATGAGAACGATCAGCAGCAGCAGCAGCAGCAGGAGCTGAGCGTGGAGCTGGAGATGAGGGAGAGGTTACGGAGCAGGCCTAGGGACCGCACCACCAGCTCTGGCAATGAGGTGTGCAGAGACAGGCTTGGATCATTGCTCTATGATGAGATGCAGAATGACAGCAAGACTGCTTTCCCAGAATCATTCATGTTTTTTATGTATCATCTCTTACAGTCTTGTGGGGGATCCCTTCATCCGTTCCTGCAACAGGATCCTGGATGCTCCAGAGGGAAGCCAGAAACAGACGCACAGACGGAGGTGTTGTTTACACAGGTAAACATGCAAATCAATACACACACATCTTGGATAATCACTTTTCAAGGGCACACTACACAACCTTCAATCTGTAAAACTGGTCAAACATGTGAGCAAACTCCCATCACCCAGCTGTCAACTAATTTACCCCTGCTTTCTAATCAGGTGTTTTGCTGCCAACCGTGTGATGTGATTGGCCAGGATTTTGAGCTGCCAGTGCAGATTACAGCGAGTCCAGTTCAGACCTTGCCCAGTGTTCGCAGCTTGGACGAAGAACTACAGGAGGCGATCCAGAAAGCGCAGGTTAGATTCTGTGGCTGAGCAGGAGGACATCATCAAAAGCTACTTTTACACAGTTTGGAATTAAGTGTTTCTTTTGGCCACAGATGGACCCTCGGCAGTCCATAGATGACATTCTTGATGAGCCCATAGCTTGTGTTGGTAAGTATCCAATAATTAAAAAAGAATACAGCTTATATTTTTTTTAGTGTCTCATCCTTTTTACTACCTCTGTTACAGGCTCTGTTAATGTCTGTGATCATAAATCCCCCGCTCACTCAGTCCCGGGCCCTTCGCCGCCTCCTCCTCAGACGGATCAGTGCCAGGCCTCCCAGCAGCACAGGGATGACAGCTTCCTGCCCTCACCTCTTTGCTCTTCTCTCTTACTGGAACTCCCTCCATCTCCAGCTGTAATAAATCCCAGCCAGGTGAACCCAGCTCCTCGCCCGCCTCCCATTTGTACTTCCCCTCTGCCGTCCACTGGGAAGTCACGGAAACGACGGGCTCCGACATCATTTGACGCTGCTGACTGGCTTGAAACACTGACGTCTGGCCTCCGCCCTCTTACACCCCCGACAGCTCCTTTTGTTGAGTCTGACTTCAGTCTAGATTCAGATCTGAATGTCAGTCGAGTGTTGGATCTAATGATAGAGCAGTGGTGAGGAATTCTGTGTGCATAACTGTTTGTATCTACTGTATGTGAGCGTTTTTTGATGGTTGTGAATGGGGCAGCATGCATCCCACTGAGGGCACAAGATTGTGAATAGCCTCCATCATTGAAAGGCTGTCAGAGTCACTGGCTCCACGCAATGTCGAGAGCTGGATTCATTGCAGCGAAGAGATTAAACATGGCTTTGATGGGGCAAAGAGAGCACAAACACAAGCACACACATAGACACTGCAGAGTGCTGTTTAAAAGCACTTGGGCTCAGCCAGAAATGGCAAACAAACAACACATCTGTGGACTGACACACTCCACAGCACAATGTTTGCAGTGCTAAACAAAAGAAAACCTGGTGGCATATTAATTTAAACATGCTTCCTTGATGCGCTGGGAGAATGTTGTTTCTGACTTATCTCCAAAACCTGTTGTCGTATTGGGTCGAGTGTGGCCCCTGGTGTTGACTCAGTCATTGAGTCCTAGCCATTCATAAAGCCCATTTAGAGTGTGTAAAAGCCAGACAGAGCACACAGCTTGTGTGTGGCTCCAGACCTTAACCCCGGTGCCAGACACACAGTCGGCATGCAGAGGGAGCAAGCTGGCACAAGCTGCAAACTAGCAGTGTGTGTGTGGTGCTCATGCGTACGTGCAAGTGTGTGTGAAAGCTTATGTGTTGAGTATGTGTGTGTTCAATATGTCTGACTGTGTGTGACTGAGCACACAAGGCTGCTTCTGTTTTATACGTGTCAACACCCAACTGCTTCCATGTAAATTTCAACGCCAAATGCACTTGTAGTTATTTGTTTGCTTATAATTAAGTGTGCCTGTTTGTGTGTGTAATAAGATTGAACGGTGAGAGGATACATGTGGAAGACAGAGAAAAAAAAAAGCTTTGGCTTTCTATGTCCATATTTCAGACCAGACATTTCATTGTAGGCTCATTGCCAGCGGGCAGCAACTCCAGTGTCGTTATCCAGTGTAATCATCAGCACAGCCACATTACCTTGTTCAAGTCACTGTTCTCAAGGAGAGCAATCAGGCAACCACCCCAAAAATAGTGCCCATACAAATGCTCCAATCAGAGGGACCTTTCCTCATCGCTTTGCAAAAACAGGTGGTCATTTTGTTCCCTGATTAACCCCCAACCGTGTCTGGCCCGCTGCACAGTGCTTACCCGGCGACTAGAAAAGCACAATTTAGCACAATTTATAACCCAACCCCAAGGCCACACCTGTTCACTTAGTTTTATTTATTTATTATTAATTCCATACGTATTATTTGACATTGTTAAATCTTTGCTGTATATTTCAATCTACAAAAACGACCATTTATATTTAATGAAAATGCACTGTAGAATTAGCAGACAATAATATATTTGGAGAAGCTTCTTAATGATGACAGAAATTTTGCTTTTTATCCTGCATGATTTACTGGTCGTACAGAAACGGGCACATTATTTGTTTGCATAATACACTTTCAGTGAGTTATGATTCCATTCTCAACCCCGCTTAACATCATGAAGAATAAAGTCTGATGGGGGTAAACTGCCATTAACCTCTGTCGAACATTTGTATTGTTTCTTAACTAACTGGACGTCTTTCTGAAAGACCACTTTTTTTTTTAAATCCCTAAGCCTGGTCCCCTTCTCAGTCTCCAAAGTATTGTGTTAAAAATAAAGGTTAAGTCCTGAGTGCAATATGATTTGTGTAAAGGGCACATAAACTGGCAGATATGAGGTCATCATGTCATGTTTTTTGTATGCAAATGTTTCAGTGTTGCTGCCGGTCTGTTCCTTGTTCTGATAATGAACCGGTGTCTTACTAAGCAAGACAGCCATCGTAAATGATTGGAACAAGATGTCTGTGCATTGGCAAACTTTCAACACACAGCTCTATGTTGAAGGGATTCTTGTACAGCTTTAACTACAGCGACTATGAAAAATGCAGTAGAATGTCGATCGATTGCTATGATAATCATAGCGATCAATAGACATTGCCTGCTGCATGAATAAAAAAAGGAAAGAAAAATGATTGGCAGGAGAGTAAGATGCTACCTCCTGTGACTTCCACTGCTTTACGGCCGACACCAGTGTTTACCTTGTTGCTTATTTAATTTCCAAACACTGGTGCAGAGTTTCCTGGAACACGCCTGAGATAGTTTCACTTGACTTAAACGCAGGTCAAATTCTTCTGTTTCGATCTAGGTTTTAATCTGTCCTGTTTGAAGCTGGTTAGGACAGATGTCAACTGGAAATACTATTTCAGGTTAATGAAACTCTGTTGGCAATGTCTGCTGCTATAAATGTGAAAATGTGAAAGAAAGTAAAATATGTTTGCTTTATTTATTATGTAAATTATTCATGTAAAAGATATCAACCACTGTCCAAAATTGTATTTAAAAGCAATAAGAAAATTAAAGTCTTAATAGATTTTCTATTTTGTTCCTCTTTGTTTTTTTTCATTTTTTTTCCATTTCTGTAACATGAAACAATTAAAGGATAAACACGTGTTTGTTTCATGAAGAAAGAATGACTGATATATTTTCCAGGAAACGTTGCCAAATGATGTCTGATCAAATATTGACATGGAAAAAGTAACATTAAATATTAAAGTGCACCACTAGGACTCTTACAAATATATGAAGCAGTCCCAACATCTACATAGATTGATGGTTAATCTTCACAATGACACAGGTTTGTAATGTAGATAGAACAATTATGTAGCTATACATCATAAAGAGATCTACTATAAAGGTTGCCCCACACAGTAAAGGCTATGGATTACATTTCTGAAATGAAAAGGTGGTTAAACTAAATGTATGTGTGTTGATCATCCACTTGATTCAATATAGTTATGTAGAGGGGTCGGGGCATAGTAGTTCAAATTTAAACAACTCAGTTAGGATCAAAAAATCAGATTAGACTAACATGTTAAGGTAAACGAGCCCCTGCCCCATGCACTCCCCAGATATAAAGGATGTCAAGGGGGAAACACAGTTAGATTTTTCTAAGAATGTTCTAATCATTCCCATATAACCTGAGGTGAGGCCAAATGTGAGGCCTTTACTTGTGGCTTGGAGCAGGAGGTCCAGTTTAAAAAGCAAATACAAATAAACTATTTAAAAAGAAATTATATGTTATTATCAGTAGGCTATGACGTTTTTTTACTGTTATCTAACGAGATTAATTATTAACAAAATATAAATAATTGTAGCAATTTCGTTTTTTAAATCCGACCTCAGTTGACCCCGTCTTTTGATTGGTTGCTGAAAGGTCATGCTAGCTAGCTAAACTTCACGGTTCAAATAAAGTGTGAGCGCAGCGGCTGTTTCACGCCGAACAGCGATTTGTTTCGTAAAAAAAGCAAGGTTGGAAGATAACCGAAGCAGAAATGGATTAAGGGACGATAAACTGTCTGCTAAACTTTACCTGGCGAGGCAACAACCTGCGTGAGCCGTGGAGCACCTATGTTTCTACGGCCACACCACCATGCGTTGCTGGACTTATCCAAGATGTTGTGTACCTTTTCGACATTGCATGTTTCTTCAGCTCCACACAAACCTTAGTTATTCGTGCCTACATCGGCTAAAGATACCTTCAGATCAGATTGCACTGCTTACCGTTTTCATACTTTATATATCTTAGCATATTCATACACACTGTTCATACTGCTCACAGGCTGCTGTGTATATCTAGTGTATTCATACTGTATTAACTGTTTATTCATCATTCAATTAATTCTATATTTTATTCTGTAGATTGTGTACATTACTTTTCACTTTACTGCTTGTTGCACTCCTGGTTGGAAGCTAAACTGCATTTCGTTGTCTCAGTAGGCCTACCTGTAATATGTGCAATAACAATAAAGTTGAATCTAATCTAGAGCAGGAACAAATGTATTTACTTAGTACATATCTGACATTAACGATTAAACACATTTGTGCATTCTTTATAAATGCAAACCGAGTCAAGCCGACTCCGGAGGTGGCGGTATGCACCTTAAAGTTGTTTGCAATCCGCCAAAAAACCGGAAGAAGAAGACTCCGAGCTGTCCGACTTCAGGCGAGCTTTTTGAGACCTACCCCAGCTGCGATCGGCTATTCTCGTCTACTTTCGAGGCGAGCCGCAGCTCGTCTCAAACAAGCCTAATCTATAGAGTGGCGAAGTCACGCCCATCTACTTCCGCCCCATGGGACCTTATTTCTGAAAAATTATGTATTGAAGTCAATGGGGAGAGAAAGATTATCTTTCGATCCCGTTTGAATTGTGCCAGGAATAACACATATGATGTTTGTCAATCTTAAAAAATCTATTCCATGTCAAAAAAGTCACAGTTTGTCTTAAAACTGTTGAAATATAAGACTATGAAAAATACGCAACTAGAAAGACTACAAATCCCAGAGTCGAGTAAGTGAATTTAGCTATCTGACATTAACGTTACACATTGCACTCGTGTTACTCACCGAAACCTTGTAAAGCCTGTCCCGCATGCTGGAACCGACTAACTCCCCTTTTGTGTATGTACAGTTCTCAACATGGCCAGACTTGTAGTGATTTTCACCTCTTTTAATACTTTTCGCTTCATTCTGAAAGAAAGAGGTGAAATGTGCTAACGTGACGGCCATCTTGGTGTTGGTGACGTATGCAAGACCAGAGTTGTAGTTCATTGAGCGCTTCACACAAAAAAATGTTTACTTCGCAGTTTTACGACACATTTGAATTTTTTTGACTTGCAAAATTATCTTTTAAATTGACAAACATCATATGTGTAATTCGTTGCACAATTCAAACGGGATCAAAATATAATCTTTCTCTCTCCATTGACTTCAATACATACTTTTTCCGAAATAAGGTCCCATGGAGGTCTCCCGGAAGGGGAGGGACTTTGCCACTCTATTGCCAAATAAGTTTCCCATACTTTCCCTTGATTTGTTTTGGTGAATAACAATAAACAAAGAGACATGTTGATTCAGGTTTTGAGTTAAATGTCACAACAACTTTTAAATGGATTTCCAAGCAATTTGGTGAATGTACAAGAATGCTATGGAAACAACATGACGGTGTGTCTGATATCTTCTACATATAAAGACGGAGAAAGTAAAGAATACAATTTATGTTTAAATGTTAGCAACCCCCGAAGAGGCACAAGCTCTTACTTTGAGTCTGGAGTTTCAATCAATTCTAAATCATCAGTAAAGTCTACGACCATATTTCGGAGGGATATGCTACATATTAACTTTCTATTTATGCATTTCAATTCTTCATTAACATTCCTTAATTAACACTTCACTTTCCTGACACAGTTCCACTAACATACATTCACTGTCGATTGTTATTTTTTAATATTCTTTGCCGGATTTGGCCGTGTAAAATGTCCTCTTGGTTTGCCGTACAGCCAATGCGTGAAGTCATTGGTAAGCGTAACGGACCCCGGGCTGATCTGGTAGGCCGTGCACATAATGGTACCTACATCGGAAGTGGTAAAATGCTAACTTACTTCCGGGTTTTAGGACGCATCACTGTGGCACTCTATAAACCAGATTCTAAATCTGATCTGGTTCTCATAGTGGAGTTAAAGGTACAGTCAGGGAATACCTCTGTACATAATTGAATGTCAATCAATCCAACAGTTGTTTAGATTTTTCTGTCTCGACTAAAGTGGCGATGCAACTGAAGGTTCTACATTGCCATCGGCCTCGGATAAAGACTAGTTAATATGGCTTTAAGCTTCTCAATGATGTAGCTGTTTTTCTGGCTTGTTTTGTAGCTAATATATTTTATAATCCGTGTTTTGCATTTCTCAATATTTTCCTGCATACTGCCTCTACTGTAAACTGCACCTACTAATGAATGGAGAAACTTGGCTTAATGGATCCTCATGCATCTGATGGATGAGTCAGGATGTTTTCCTCTCTGATGTCTTGCCAAACATCTCACTCTGAAATGCACGAAGATGCCTTGAGGAAGTCTCCTTTTTTTCATCCGGCTTCATAGTCTTCTTCAAGACGCTGTTGTTGCAAATGAGCTTTCCCCTATAACAAAAAGCAGACGGGTTGGTTGATTAATTGATTGATTGATCACAGACCAAGATGTGCTGTGATCCCTCTATATTCTAATCAAAGACAGGAATATAAAGGAAACAGACACGTCTTTAGACTGGCGTACAGCTCAGAGAGATCTAAACCATCCGGTCTGTTGGTTCTACAGCGAGCTAAAGCTGTGTATGTTAAGTTTAACCCTGCCATACCTGTCTAGAGACTAGGCACAAAGGGAAGGAATAAGATGAGACAATCTACTCTCTTTGACTCATTCACCCAGGGGTGAGAGTGTGTTTTCACAAGGGTAATACTCCAAAGCTGTGACCAGGTTGTAATGAGGGATTCTCTGTAATGGCCCCTCTAGCCGTTCCACATCACTTCCTCTCCCTTTGCAATAACCGCTTCCTGCGTGATTTCATGGGAATTAAAGGGAGAAAGGTGTGTTTCATATGTAAAGCAGGTAGCTCTTGCTGAGACGTGAGATGGTTTGTGTGGATTCCCTCTCCCTCTCTTCTTTGCTCTCTCTCGGGTCGGGGTGGGGGTGCAGTGGTACTGGGGCTGGTTGAGGTAAGCTTTGATCACTGGCAGAAGGTCGCTATGGTTCGATTTCTGTGGCGCTCCTCAGAGGTTTTCTCTGCAATTATAAACCATGTGAGAGAAGGCAGAGGGATGTTAATTTCTGCCCAGCTACTGTATCCCGTGTGTCAGGTAGCCAACAGCGACCATGAATCACGTTTACAGTATGAGGCAGAAAAAAAGGCATTTGGTACCACAGCAACAACAATGTAAAATCCGTTTTATAATCTCTTTACTATGTGAGCTTTGTGGTTGTAAGAGACTCAATAAAGTATGCGGCCCAGAACCTCTGCTGGCGCCCTACCCTCAGCCACATGCATATACCAGAAAGTCCTTATCTAACCTGCAATAATGGATTTCATGGCCACTTAAAAGCATAGGGAAACCGCTATTAAAATGAATTTTGTTGCAGGATTGAGTCCTAAAACACGAAACATGTAAACATTTTTGTACCAGCTCTTCTGGCTCGAGGGCAAACCACTTTTTGAATTGGTTTTTGGTTCTATGCCTAAAACCAATCCTGCCATTAACACACGTGTTGAGGAAAAAAGAGATTTTTACATTTTGTTCTGCGACATGTACTTGTAAATACTCAATTGTTGAATGTTAAATGTCATCATGCCAAACACTATTCAGCCTTAGCTTAGGTTTAGTGACGTCAAACTAATGCTACAGTGATGTAGTTCAATTCAGCGTTTCCGCCAGGGGGGCGTCTTGCCGTCATTTGACGTCCAAAAAAATTAATAATTCGAGAGAAGATCAAGAGTTTTTATAGCTTGATATGACGAAAAGGAAAAAGGACAAGGACATCCC